CTAATTTTAAATTCATAAGTCGTATTGCATGTGAATAACATTCAAAATTTCAGTAAAATTCAGTGAAGATGGCAAATATAAGATTTGTTAATATACCTCGCTGATTTCAATAAACTCCGACCATCTTTATTTCGCCTTGTGATGGTTTGGATTTCGACCAGTCTTATTTGGTATAAAAGCTTATCTCAATATGACTATTCTGTCTTAAGTTTTTATAAAACAGATGAGATGTGGCTTGTAGTAGAATCTAGGACGCTGAGTGTGCCTAGAACTCATAGTTGATGTCCCCTCTGGAATAAGGTACTAGGTTCAAACTATGGGGTAAACACCAACTCCACGATGCAGATACATACAGCTGATAAATCCCAAATAAAATGAAACGGTTTCCTTGGATTCCCTGCATTTTATCTCTTCCAGAATACTGTAACCATCTTCATCTACGGATTCTTAGTTTACCAAAAAGTTCAAAAATAAAGTTTTAGATAGTATAAAAATAAATTTAAATAAGATTTACTTGATCAAGTGAACGGTAATAAGACTGGCTGTACTTTATCAATCAGTATATAGGTCGGATTTTATCAGTTCACGTTTCATTATAAGTGATGTTCTATTTAAGCATCTATCATAATTTCTGCATGGGATTTCCGGCAAAGTCGACCCAGATGTTCACCCCTTATTAAAAATCAGAATGGAAAGTTGGTACCTGGGCTTCAACTCAGCGAAGTAAATTTACTTATCATAATCACAGATGAGTTAGTTTGACGAACATATTTCAGCGATCTTGACTTTCATGATCGTCTAATGCTTGATTTGAAACCTCTAGAAACAAATATAAGAAAATGGGACAAGTTTCTTACTTGGTTATTGATTTGTTGGCAAAATCCCAGCATAGTAACAATTTTTAGAACATAGAAATATATACGGATGTTTGTCTGTAGCCATACGTATTGACCAGAAGGTGGTATTCGACTCTATCAATGGAGAGTTCATATACTAAATATCGATTTATCTAAGGACTGATATAAACGTAAATGATATTACTATTCTTATTGAAGAAACTGCAGACACCGAAAATCGTTTTACTGATTCGCTTGACAGTGATAAGACTTTCAGAATGTATTTCATCTTCCATAAGGTCACTAACTATCATTCTGAACTGTACTGGAAAAAACATGAGATTTTTTCACTCTTTTACTTTTTCGTTTCATAAATTTTCCTTCTATGCCAATGTGAATGATCGTCATTTCACTTGAAATAAATTTGTACCAGCTTTGATACTGTATGTATCTGTTTATCTATAAACATAACAGTTATTTCGTACGGTTATATTAAAAAAAAAATATGGTATTTTTTTTTAAAGAAACGCTATAGATCAATAATTTTTATAAATATGTTAACTGGATCTTTTCTGAAAACTCGGACATGATTTTCAAACTGAATTCTGTATTATTTTAAAACACTAATATATAAATGAAGAATATTCTTTCCAACAAATTCACTTCAGGTTCTGCAATCATATATCCAAGTCAATAATCCCGAAAGTTGACACGTTAAAGGTATGATACACAGTTTAAAATTCTCGGTCAAATATAATTGTCTTCTTATATTTATATGTCATTTTATTATTATTATTATTATTATTATTATTATTATTATTATTATTATTATTATTATTATTATTATTATTATTATTATTATTATTATTATTAATCTATCGAACACACTGATCGCATTTTATTATTTCGCATTGAATTTACATAACTTTATGCACAAAATAGTGTCCCACCAAACATTTGATAAAATTTGTCAGCTAAGATAGCATTTCTCTTACTCTATCCGACGGTTATATATTCTGATAATCTATTCCACAATTTCATTTGACGTCTAGACTTATTGAAGTAAACATTGCAGACCAATCATGTCAACATTAATAATTTGACTTTGATTTCCGATCCTATGCTATAATTTTAACCGATGTATTTTGCTGGGTAAATTTCTCAAAATTTGTTGTCAGGTATTCTAGTAGTGATAATAACTAACTAACTAACTAGCCCTAACTTGGAATCGTGAAGGGAAATGAAAAGGAGCAAGACAGGAGAACACACTACGTTGGGAAATGGAAGCAGATATGAGAAAGATGGATAGCAACTAGAAACAGCCAGAAGGGATTGTTCGGGACAGGGTTGCATGGAGAGTGCTGGTGGGAGGCCTATGCTCCTCCACGAGGGGTGGCAGGCCTAAGTAAGTTATTATACTGCCAGTTAGAGAACAATGACTTATCGACAGAATCTGCAACCAATTTACTGACATCGATCCGTTTAGGACTGTGAATTTGTTGGTCACTAAAAAACAAGGTAAGACTGGCGCAAACCAGGGCAGTTTCAGAGTCCAGGTAGGTACTCTTGTACATAACCACGCCAGCGGTAGCTGATGTGATCAATCTGAGTCCAGGCTTGAGATACAGAGGGAGGATGCCAGGTGGCATGAATTAAAATACATTCGATTGTCCCCACTTGTGTTCTCGTTCACTTATTTATTTTAACACATAAACATTGGTACAGAGGGGCACTAGTTATAAATGCGCCACACAAAACAATGAGAATGGGAAGGGAAAAAAGAGAGCGAGGTGCATATAAGAAAAAAGAAGAAACCCAGTGCTCATAAGCGGGACGTTTCGCGAAGCCGCAAGCGGCTTTACTCGCCATTTTCATGGCATCAAGCAGTTGCAACCAATGCTCATCTATATTCTTCGATGGGATGGTGGCTAGCCTAAAAGCTAGCTCGGTTCGATACTTACGTGCAACAGAAGTTGCAATCAATTTACTGACATCAATCCGTTGATGTCGATCAATTCGTTGGCCACTGAAAAGTAAGGTAATATTGGTGCAGACCAGGGCATTTTCAGAGTCCAGGTAGGTACTCCAAAATGAGCGGCAGTCTTGTACACAACCACGCCAGCGGTAGCTGATCGCGATGTGATCAATCTCAGTCCAGGCTTGAGATACGAAAGGAGGACGCCAAGTGGCACATCGACGATGACTGTGCCGAAGTTAGTGCTAGCTAGAAACAGGTTGTAGTCTGTACATAGTTGCGGTAGACGGTCCCTGTTATCTGTCCTGAGACCAACAAGTCCCCATCTGCCACCTAAACGTTTCCCTTCCATGCCTAGACGACCGACCCGTGTATTCAAGTCTCCGGTTAGCACTACAATATCTGTCGAACGCACTCTCTGGAGAAGAACTGTTAATTGGTGGTAAAACTCATTGTTGATCATATCCGAGCTGTAAAACATAGTATGAAATAGGTTTTCCGTCATTCCAAATGGTAAAGCAATTTTAGCATGAAATAATCGAACACATTTAAATAATGGCAAATACTGTGGTAATAAAACATATTATGTATTAGAGACAGGTGATTTTCTCGATTTTATATAAAGTAACTTTTTTTGAAAAGCAAATGAGCATTTACTCTAATTATTATGGACTCTTTATTTACATAAAATATTTTTTATTACATCATGCATCAGATGTGGTCAGTTGATATCTGTTCACTCAAATAAATCTTTTTACCGATGTGCAAAAATTAATGGGATGAGTTTTCTCAAAAATAGGAAATATCATACACAATAATAAGCTATCAAGTAAACAGTAAAGTTTTCCTGGCAAAAGTGTTAATGAGCAACGGTTATGTTTTATTGATTAGCCGTAAAACGTCCGCCTTCTTACATTGATTAATAACTGAGTAGTAGTCAGTGTCATAGCTTTCTAGTCATACTTATATTTGCAATTTAAACCGACATTAGTGGAATATAAAACTTTATGTAAGCCAATATAATCTTTGAACTACTCAACTTCGAATTAATTGTGTGGAACTGACAACTACACATTAGCATCGTGAACAATTTGAAGACAACACTTTGAAGGTTGGTGATAATACCAGTAATCAAATGGTGATATTACGTAATATATGCTCCAGTTTTGTGGTATTACTACTTTTGAAGAAGGTTAGACAATTTTAATGATCATGGAAAATACCAATCAATGAGATAATATGTCCAGGATTCTATCGTGAGAAAATTTACGAATAAAGGGAATAGAGTGAAAAAATACTCCGTGATACCGAATAACTATTCAGATTCAATAAGACACTTCATTACACTGGCGTTGAATTTTACATTATCTAAGTTGATGATTTCTAAGTGTGGTAAGACGAATTGTTCAATGCAGAGAAACTTTTGGTACGAAATGTTTTGTAATTTCACGTTGACTACTCATGAGTAATCTGATGTAAGACAAAAATATTGAAGTTGTTGGTATTTAGACTCCCGAAAAAGCTGAGTTAGTAAAAGCCCAAAATCATTGCTTTTTCAGTATATGATTGTGGAGATTGTTGAGTTTCAATTGAGATCATGAACATTAACACCGGTGGATTCCCGTTCATGTGCCTGGAGTTCAAGCGTTCGTGCGCGAGACCGAAGGTCCTGGGTCCGAGTTTCGCATGCGGGATGGTGGATGAGCATTGCTGAGGAGTCCCATAATAAGACAAAACAGTCTTCCAGTGCTTCTAGGTTCTTATTGGTGATCTAAAATCGATCAGTTCATGATCTGAATTGAAATTGTTGTTTCATTGAGAGATAAAGTGAATAACAATTACAATGAAGAAAATTCAGAAAAGTAAAAACAATAGTAGTAACGAATACAAACAGTGACAAGTGAATTGTACGTATATACATAACGTGCTTCTATAATTTACAGTTTGGGTGTTTTTACACACACTGTCGAAAAGTTGATCTCAAGTCATTGTGAAGAAATGAAATAACACTGATTTTTCTAAATTTATTAAGGAAAAAGAAGATATACAAAATTAAATAGGAAAACAGGTCACCAAATGAAGTAGGATAATGACAATTGTAATGTTTACAGAAGCTAAATCATAAGCGAATATCTTTGGGATATATATATATATAGTTCAAAAATCCTATTGTTGTTTATAACAAACAACTAATGAAAGGTTGCCTTCTGGGTCGATCTGTTAAAAAAAAAGAAAACAAAAAAGAAGTAACTTAGTTCAGAGAATTGTGGAGATTAGTTAAACATGAAAAGGAAGACCTTCTTCAATGAAAAAAATATTTCATCTAATGTTAGGACTTCTCAGCAGTGAGCATCTGTGACTTAATCAATCATCCGAAAAACAACAGTCAGAGGACTTGAGATGAGCACTTTACGTTTAGACTATTGGAGAGACGGAACGGGACAATTCATATTTCCGAAATCAGTCAATTGGTGTTATTGAGGCGACTGTCAACGTCATTGATAACAAAAATAAGTAAAACCTATTGGACACAAGCTAGATAGAGAAGAGTAGCTTCGAGAGAGTTGCTGTTGTATTCTAGTCCAAAAGACGAAAATAGTCTCAACACAAGGAGTTATACAGATTCTGTCCAAAGAAACACGGAAATCGCGGTGACTATAATTTATGAACGAACCAGTCAGACTTAAAACAGCGGGTCTTAGATTTTGGTGCGAGATTCATCCACTCATTTAGCTAAATACCACTTCGGCATTATAGCTGATGTCAGTTCGTCATGAAAACACCAAATATAATTTCTAACCCCAACGTTCAACTGTAAACCCCAATCCTGGTTCCTCTCACTAATTTATAACCCTCATTTAACCCTAGTAAGTAGACAATGATTTTCAAGGTCGTTCTAGCGTTGCTCAAAAGTCGTTCATAAATTATAGTCTTATCGAAATCGCTTATAGGATGGGGAACTCACGGCTTCAGGATCACTAAACAACCCTCCAAAGACAAAGAAGGAAGGGATTACAATCAGTGTCACTTAGTGCAATGCACCCATAATTGATAGTGAAGGATGTGAAGATCAGTTTTATGCAAAACTTCAATCCATCCTAGACAAAAATCTAAGAAAAATCTTGATAATCTTGATATGAGATCTTAAAACCATGTTCGGGATACACAAAATTCAGTTCCAATGCATCATTGGGCGACATGGACTGGGAGAACAGAACGACAATGATCAGAGACTGCTAGATCTAGGCGCTTTAGACGTGTTCATTAACAGCAGGATTTTCCCACACAAACACAAATATCAAACTATAAAAGTTTCACTAAACTACACAACAGACAACCAGATCGATCACATTTGCATCAACAAAGAGTTTGGAAGGTCTCCGATCACCATCTACTAGTGGGATAAGGTAAAACTGAAGCTAAACAAGCATTGTTCCATGAGACAAGAAGGAAAACAAAAATTCAAGATGGATCTCAGCAAAATGTTCCAAGCTCTACAAATCTACTAGAAGAAAGGAAAAACACTATATAGAGAAACCGGAAAAAGTTTAGCGAGGCTTTAACGTTAAAGTCTTTGGTGGTATTGCACCCCAAGAAGCGTCAGACTAAGGAACGGCTGCGAAGGATTGAAGAAGTAAAAAACAAGACAGCAATCAATAACAACCAAGAAAGAATAGTGAAGGCCAAGGAAAAGGCTGAATATACAGAAAAAAAGGAATTTATGAAGAAGAGCATTAGAACTGACAAGTGGAAATATGTAGAAGACCTGGCAAATACTACAGAAAAAGCCACAAGAGAAGTAGACATCAAAAGGCATTATGATGTCACCAAGTAGTTTGCAGGAAACTTTAGTAAACTAGAGCGACCAGTCAGGAACAAAGAAAAACCCAATCACTGAGATTCATGAGCAGCGGAACCGATGCATGGAACATTTTGAATAGCATTAAAATGGGCCCACTCCCACTAAACTCACTGCCCTTCGGACCAGTACACAAAGACTCCCTTATTGATTATGCACATAAACAATCGAAGAAATCAGCAAGGCTATGAGAAAAATAGAGTAGTAAAGCAGTAGGACCAGACAGATTTCGGACGAAGAACAAGTATCAACAGACTGGAATGTGGAATACTCATCAAGATACCGAAGAGAGGTCTTAGTAGACGTGAGAACTACAGAGACATCACATTGCTGTCAGTACCAGGTGAAGTTTTCAACAGTGTTGCCGAACCGAATGAAAGATTCAGCAGACATCCAACTTCGAGATCAACGAGCTGACTTTCGTAAGGATCGACCACTTACCGACCAAATTGTGACACTGCAGATTGTTGTCGAACAATAAATTTATTAGAACTCATCAGTACACATCAAATTCCTTGATTATGAGAAAACATTAGACAATTTCTGTAGAGAAACGTGGAATCTTTTTCAGCTCCACGGATAGTCAGTGGCTTGATGTGAAACAAGGATGCTCGCTCCCGCCTTTTATCTTCTGATTTTTGATTGGATTATTAGAACCTACACACCCCAGAAGCACAGAATATAGTGGAAAGTTTGGATGGAGCTGCACTATTTGAACTTTGAAGATGACTTGGCCCTTCTATCACATGCACAACAACAAATACAGACAAAGCTAGTGACCTTCTCAGCAGTAAGTCTCAACATTCAAAAGGAGTAAAACAGAATCCTAAATTGCAACACAGCAAGTACCAACAAAATCACACTTGATGATAAAATTTTGAATGTGGTGGGAGCCTTTCCATATCTGAGTACTATTATTGATAAACAACAATGATCGTATGCATATGTAAAGGGACTATTTGGCAAGACAAGGCAACGTTTCTACAGTTTAAGAATATCTGGTATTAAAAAAAACTGTCATTCATAACGACTGTCAGAATTTTCAACACAACCATAAAAATGGTCTTATTATTTGGAGCTGAAACTTAGAAGACTACCATCAACATCACCAAGAAGGTTGAGGCATTTGTAAACACGTGTCTGCTTAAAATATTCCACGTCCATTGATAATAGACTAGATGCCGTCTGAGGAAAAAATAAAAAAGACGCTGCAAGTGGATGAAACATACTGCGAAAACCATCAAACTGCATCACAAAACGTTCTTGTCTTCTATAAATGTCAAGTTATATCCTCATGTTTCCCCATTATTACGGTTATTTTCCAATACGTTTATTTAAATTATGAAATTTACCATCTTTCTTGAACTCAAAAAATTGCTTCTAACAATTCACATCAAAGAATAAATTAATCTGTAAAGTGTTCCCATTCATTTTATAAGTTGCTGAATAAATTTAAAATTCTAGTTATTTTTTCGTACGGTACAAAATTTTGTTAAGTTAATAACAATAGTAGTAGTTGTTTTCGGTTTCGTTGCCGTCGTACTGAGTAGTGTCGTGAAAGGTAGTTCTTATCAGTGACTTTTGATTTTTTATACGTTGTACTCGATGATATGTTGTTCCACATTTTTCATCACTAGGTATTTTATCTGAGTCTCGTTCGAAGATTCATCACTTGGAATTCCAGCTACATGAGGCCAATTAATTCAAAATATAATGAAACAAGTCTCTTCAGTAAAATACCTAGCAGTCAAAATGTTATTATTAAACATGGTCTGATGATCTACTGACATGGTTTTTGTGCCACTGTTTATGTATGTGTGGGCAAATCACAATGATCAGTTCAATCTGTTGGTTTGTTCGAAATAGACATTTTACGTATGTATCAATAATTGGTCATAACTTTTACAGAACACTTTTGATGTAGAACTTAATTACATGTTCTTTTCCATTATGTTTACATTTTTTCTTTCAACAGAGTATTATCAAGCTATTGACTCTTTAAATACGACACATACTGCTCAAACTTCGATGACGCCGATCAATAAAACAACAAATGTTTATCAAATTGTTGACGATCTAAAAACCCACGTGAAAAAATCTACACCGTCATCAAACATCACATTGAATAATCACGATGGTAATAATGAGATTTGTCGACCAAAAATGCATAGTTTGTAAGTTATGAATTTATTTATTGTATATGGTATATTCTCCATTCACTTCTTGCTTCTTGTTACTAGTAGTTTCCTCTGAATTGTTGGGCTAGGTCTATTGTATATATTAACTGTAATATGTGACAGTGGTTTCTTTTCCAAATAGTTCCATTGCTACTTTTAACCACAAGCAAAATCTGTTTTATTTTGTAGACAATAAAGCAAACTTCATATTAGATTTGTAGTTCCTAAAGTTCATCCCACATATTCAAATTTAAGGATAACTTTTATTACAGACTAACCATGAGATGTAAAATTATTGGAAACCAAGAAGTACTACATGTCTGATTTGCAATTTCAACTTTATCGTCATGTGACTGGAGTTAAAAATGTGGCTGAACTACTAAGTTTCAACCCGTAGTTTTCAAGTCAACACTTGTTACGAGGCCTGAAGTTCATGTATTTTGAATCCCTAACCGAAGACTCACTTATTGACTTATAATCTACAGGTGATGTAGTCTTGTTTAATGAAGACGCTGATAAGATTCAGAGTCTTATGATCTCACTAACCAACAATGCATACATATGTTGGATGAGTTTCTCTCTTTGAATACAAAATATCCTTTCAAAACTAGGGAATGATTTAATTGATTAATTCTAATCCAATTTCCTTTTTAGGTACCTCCAGAAGAACCCTTTCACGGTATGGGCAACAGGGAAGTGATAACTTCCCTCATATATCTAACAGCACTCTAGGCCACTGTATTCTTATTATTACTCCTACATCGACTTTCAAGTCTAAACTCCATTTTTCGGCCTCCTCCTCAAGTGTCACCATAGCCAATGATTCTTGTGCGCAAAAGACTGTCCCAGGTCTACTGAAACATTGTTCCAAACTACACACCCTGTATCAGATCGGCCAACGGGCCTCCTCGGCTAAAACCCTAGAATCTCGTACGATCGATGTATACTGCGTCTCAGAAACACGCATACGGGATCCTAGGGTGGTGATTCATTTGACCTCACCTCAACAAAACGGAGAGCCGACGAGATACACCCTTCGTGTATCTGGCCACCCGATGGCTAGTTCTCGTGGACTTGCAGGTGTAGGCATGGCACTTAGTGCGAGAGCGGAACAAGCACTATTAGAATAAATCCCCGTCGCCTGTGAGCTGTTCGACTAAACGGGTCCGTAAGAACTCGAA